ACGGACACTGTCGCAGTCCATCTTGTTGGGGGTCCTCCTGTCCTTCTCTGACTATCCCCACCTTCCCCAGCATGCTGTGTCTCCAAGATCTGCCACCTTCCCCCCTTGACAACATGCCTGGAGTATGTGGGACAAAGTTGTATGTCGTTTACATCGTTAGAGTGTCGTGCTCAAGTTACGCTAAGCCTTCATGGTGCTTTTGTTAAACTCCGGTGGTTGGGAGAAGAGAAAGGACTACCTTCAGAGACTCTGAAATGTGGTGAGACTGCCGGGCTGAGTGCGTGGCTTTGGGGAGAAGGTCTCTTGCTTCTTGCTCTTTTGTGGAGAGGAGGTCCAGAGTGGAGGACAGAGAGGGTCTGACAGCACTGTGACACCTGAACCGTGTGGCTGGAGCAGGTGCAGCGGGCAGTAGCGGGAGCAACGCCGTGCTGGGCACCTCGGCCCAGCGGGGAGGGTCTGGCCCAGGAGACAGCATTTGGACTTGACCGTGGTTCTGTGTCAACTCCCTGCTTGCTGCTTTGCAGCTCCTCCACCCCTACCTCCACATGCGCCACCCATCAGGATTGTTGTTAACGTTGACAGTTGTCTGTATTCTGAGAAGAGGGTTTTAAACTGATGATTACAGTGCCAATTTTAATGTTTAACTGATTTCCAGCTATTAAACAGACAAGTGTTGTCACTAAGATTCTGTAAACACAAAACTGAAGACCTTCCAGAGACGGGGTTAAGGTATTAAAGCTAGTCATTCTCTGTCTTCACACTGCCAACCTCGAAAGTTTGTTTTCTTTCTTTCGTGAAATTTTTTTTTTAAATTTTTTTTATTTGTGTGTGAGTGTACCGTCAAATCAGATCTGACTGGTACAGGAGGAGATTGTCCCTCCTTCCTCGGCAGAGCATCTGGTGGATTCGAACCGTGTGCCTCTGGGATTGTAGTTGCAGTTCCTTGCCGCTAGGCCACCAGAGCTCCCCTCCTTTTGTGAAATTTGAGGATGATAATATACTGGCCGTCTGAGTCTTCTCTTAACATGCTGAGAGGTGTTGCAGCTTAAAAAAATCCTGGTGTTTGGGGTTTTATCTTATATGTAAGAGCTTGTGACCTTCTTAAAACTGCTCCTTTTTTTAAAATTTTATTTTATTACCTTTAATGAACATTTACAGAGATTTTGGATTTTCATTCATTCATTGTTGCACGTTTTTCTTTACACACCCCCCACCCCTCTCGCTTCTTAAAGCATCAGCTGCCTCAGGAGGATTCTGTGCACCCTGAAAACGGGACCGTTTTCTGTTCATCTGCTGTCGTCTTTCGAGGAACAGGCATGGCACCTGGCTCAGCAAAGTCACAGAATAAATAGGGGCGCTCGGAAAACTCTTTGCTGTCAGGTTGAAGCCCTTCATTGGGGCGCCACAGCTGTAAATCTCGTGGAGAGAGATTGTCCATCTTTCTCCTGCACAGTGGCCAGTGGCTTCAAACCACCAGACAGGGGTGGCCTTTGGGTTTGCAGCATAGCCGCCTGCAGACCACACCAGGGTTCCCTAGACAGCGATCAAGTGGGGAACAAAGTCATGGGGTGACGCCTGAACCTTTTGGCATGTGGTATCCCACTGTTTGGTCTAGGATACTTCCTCGTCTTTCTGCTTGAAGTTATAGCAGTTCGGTTAAGGTAGATTATTCTAATGTGTTGGAAAACTTCTTGATGTTTGTGAAGATGCTTGGAAATTCTCTGCTTTGTAATTCATAAATTGTAAGTGACTACCTTTCACAGGAAAGGACAGGGTTCAGGTTAGTTGTTCATGTGGTTGCTGTGAGTTGTACTCGACAGCACCCGACAATAACAACGTACCATTCACATTTGTGACCTTTATGAGTGGGGTAACAGGGACACCCTGGTGGCCTAGTGGGTAAGGAGTTTGTTTGCAACGCAAAGGCATGGGTTCAAACCCATCAGCTGCTCCAAGGGAGGCTGGGCATTCTCCTCTTCTGCAACAAGACAAAACAACTTCTAAACATCTTATTATTTTATGGACTGTCAAGTCATAGCTCACAGCTGACCCTCCAGCTCACAGCTGACCCCCCCAGCTCACAGCTGACCCCCACATCCCACAGCTGACCCCCCA